TTTTTAATCAATAATCAACGAAAAATCATAATAAATAATGATGCAATTGCAAATGACGTATCACTATTCTTCGTCAACAATTATATTATAAAATACCGGTATATATTATTAAGATCGCAGTTTTGATACGTAACAAATGTTTTGTCACAGCTTGTATTACTCTTTAATTTATTAAAAATTTAAATGTTAAACGAAGTCAAAAAATTATTTTATTTAATTTATTATTTAGTGGATTTAATCAGAGCATTTGATCGTGTTAAATGTATCTAAATTAAATACAATTTTATATATTACAATTCGTTTAAAAATATCAAATTTTGATCTACAAATTCAGCTTTTAAGCAATCTCTCCGGTTTGTTCATGAGTTCTACCAAACATGCTGGTTGGTTCACTTGTCACGCTGGTTGGTAAAATCACGCTATCGGTTGGGAAGATTGCGCTGCTAGTTGGTAAAGTCACACCATCGGTTGGAAAATTCACGCTAGTTGGTATACTTGGTCTAACATTCACGCTGGTTTGTTCACTTGGTGTTGCAAAAACTTGAGTCCAATATGTTTCACCACCAAATGCGACTCCCATAGTGAATGCTGGATTAAGAATATTTTGTTGATCGCTGGAACTCATCCAACTTTTTTAATAAAAAATAATAAAGGTGATTATAATTAGAATTATTAGAATTCAAATTTTTTAAAGAATCTTAATCTAATAATAAGAGATTATTAAGACCCTTACCTTTGCACAACACGCACTTCCTCATCTGTACCATATCCAACAGCGACATTTTCAGCATAGTTATTGTCACTAAAAATGTACCCAGTATCTCGAATTCGTTTCCCTAAATCACCGATAGGGTTCTCGTGAGTGAGGTTACCGGAATACACCATATAATCGGTTTGCGTTTGAGCAGCTTGCGTCAATTGACTATAAAAAATGAAATAAATAGTAGAATCGTTAATACTAGTTCTCTTTAATAACAACACATAAAATCACCAAATTTACCCGTCCAATGTAAGTGCAGGAGCTCCAACCTTACTACGTTCATCATTAACGAGTTGAAGAACAAGCTGGGGTTTAAAGGCATTGACTACGGTGACCAGTGTCACAGTGGAAATAATAAGGAAAGCACAAGAAAATTTGATTGGTATCATTTTGTGTTTTGTTTCTACTTTTTTGTTCGAAATTAATGTAAAATTGGATGTTGCAGCTTTCAAAGGTATTCAGGGAGGGATATTTATAAGGTGCAGATGGTAAAAGCCTTACAAAGCCAATTCTCACAAATATTTTGCATAAACATGAATAATTGTATGATATTAGGCTCAAAGTATATTATATTAAAGTTGGTATTAATATGACATAGCCAATAACTCTCAATTATTTTGTAAAAAATGAATAATCATGCGAAATTTACCATAAAGCCAATCTCAATGAAGGATATCTAATGGGTTGATGTTGATAAGACATACAGTGGCGATCAAAAGTATTGCATCACCCGAATACAAAATTTAAAATGGAATTATCTTGTAATTTAAAAGGCAC